AAAGCCCCTCCCACTTAGGCAACAATAAACTCTAGCAAGACTTCAATTACTTACTTCCTATATCTCTTGGACTATTTCCTGAATTTTTTGTCTCAAAATTGACTGCTTCTTTCAAAAATGCTTCAAACGAGTCTTTGTATTGCAAACTTTGTGAAACCTCGTACACCTAAGAATGTTAATATATCTTCACATTTGAATTACAATTGTTTGAAATCAACCAATTGGCTAATTTTTATAACTGAAAGTTTTTTGCTTTAATAAGTAAGCAACGTCATTCCATTGTCTTTTCAGCATTGCTGTTGAGAAATATGATATCAGTATGATTATTGTTCCTTTATAAGTCATCTTCTTTCCCTCTGTAATCCTTTACAATTTTATTTTTGCTTTTGATAGTTAAATTTCACTATAATAAATCTAAGCATGGATTTTCTTCACCACTCCAGTTTGGCACTATAAAAGTCCTTTCAAGCTGAGGTCTTTTATCTTTCTTTTCCTCTTTGGGAACTTTATCCTCCAATTATCTCTACTCCTCCTGCCATGTACTTTCTATTTCTATTTTTGGGATTTCTATTTCCTAGATGTTATTTTGTTCTCTCTGTTTCGTTTTTTATTTTCTATCTATATATTCTTTTCCGTTGCCTTCTGGAAGATTTATTCCAAATTATCTTCCAATGACTACTTCATTCTTTGCCTTCATTCATACCATGCTTATTTAATATTTTGTGTATTTATTTCCATTCTTACTCTTTTCATGTTTTTTATTGTTTTGCTTCATATACCAAATACCATTTTTGTCTTTTTACAATCATAATGCTTATTTTAATTTTTTTTTTTTACTTCATCTACCCCAGTTATTGTTTCACATGAAATGTGCAATTCAGTTTTTGTGTCTTTCTTTTTATAGTAACAATAGTAAATATTCCTATCTATTTTGGCCCATCAGTTCATGGGTTTTTCTCCTACCTTGAATTAATATGTATTGGGGAAAGGACAATATTTAAGCCCCAGTCTATCTTTCCCAGTGAATTTAGAAGAAAAAGTAAATGTCCCAAGGAGTCCAAAGAACCACTGCTGATGGTTCCCCTTCACAGCATGGAGGGTTTTAAAAGCCTCTTTCAAATTTAGTAATAGTAGTGATAACGTAGTAGTCGTAGTGGAAATAAACAGCATACTTGTAAGATATTCAGAAGATAAAACCTATACGACTTGATGACTGATTTTATATTTTGGAAGAAAAATAAGAAAGTGTTAAAGATGACACCTGGATGTCAGCACCTTTCCTAGAATTGTGTGTGTGTGTGTGTGTGTGTGTGTGTGTGTGTGTGTGTGTTTTCTTTCTGTAGATAGCACTGATTAAGTAAAATGTATGCAGGAGAAAGGAGAAGAAAGTCTTAAATTTGGTTTCGAACACGTTTCATTTGAAGGGGCTTTTAAAACATCTAACGTATTTCAACATTTCATTTGAACATCTAGGTACAGAGCTCCTAGAAATCAGAACTGGGGACATAAATTCAGAATTCAAGCAACAGCATATTGTAGTAATAAAGTACCTGGGATTTTCAGTCAACCTGGATTTGAAGTCTGACTCCTTCATCCACAAGCTGTACAATCTTTGGAAAGCTATTTACCCACTCTGTGCATCAACTTATTCAACTGTACCTAATAATTTTTACTAGCTGTTAGGAGTGAGTCAATCTGAAAATAACGCCGGGCTTGGTGGCTCAGCCTGTCATCCCGCTGCGCCTTTGGGAAGCTGAGGTGAGCGGATGGCCTGAGCCCGCGGGTTCGAGACCCACCTGGGCAGCGAGACCTCATCTCTATAATAAATCAAAAAATCAGCCAGGCGTGGTAGCGCCTGCCTGTAATTC